TTCATGGCTTTGGCGTGGGGGACGGTTAGTACACAAGGGTCCGCGCGCCCAGACTAGCTGCGACTACTCGTGTCGTAACACTTCGGCCCAAGTAACACTTCGGCCCAGTAACATTTCGGCCCGAAACCCTCAGATGTGGCCTACGGTCCAACTCTCTACCTACCCACTAGTAACACTTCGTCCCAACAAAATATTTGACAGGTTAGGTTAGGTTAGGTTAGGTAAGATTCCACCGATTCTCCGTCATGTGAGGTCAGAGGATGCAAGAGGTGACGGTTGGGCGACATTCCACCAGAGGGTGGTTGCAAGGTATACAGGTCATGTACCTCTTACTACCTGAACTGCGTTCCTCAACCCTTGTCAATTTTTCGTCGGGCCGAAATGTTACTCCATTAGCTTATTTAATCATCTATAAAAGCGAGTGGGACGAAGTGATACTGTTTTTCTAAGAAATTTGAGTTTGGCCGAAATGTTACTGGGCCGAAGTGTTACTACATCCGACTACTGTAATAAGGTATTGTTACAATTCTCTTTTTAACATAGCTATTTCTGTTTTTGTTCGTAAAGCTTTTTAAGGGCACTCGTTTACGAATCCACGTCTGATTTTCAAACACACACATTTTACCTTATCCGGAAGCTGTCCCGACTCGTAATTCTAGGAAAATAATTGATAACAGTAGGATTGGATTTTAAAATAACGAATGTGACCTTGTATAACTGCGTTATAACTATTCGAAACTCTGTTCTGCCAATTCTGTCGTGTTTTTTCGCTAATTCTGTCGTGTTCTGCTAATTCTGTCGTGCCTATGAAACACTATGTTAAGAATGTGTAAACAGAAATAAATGAATACTACCACAAACTGTATAATTGTGTATAATTGTGTACATTTGTTTGGCCTTGTACGCGTTAGGTTAGGTTAGGTTAGGTTAGAGAGCCTTAGTGAAATCATAAGCAAACAGTCCACAACCAATGGTTGTATATGCACTATAGGCTGAATTTCTAATTTCTGCAAAAGATTCCCTACTTGTGTATACGGTGTAGACATCCCCGTTCAGTGGGTAGCTTTATCAATTAATTATCTTACTATAGTATTTACAGTATTACATTTAGAAACTCATTTCCTAAATATTTTTATAATGTATACAAGTATTTAACAAAACTCTGAGACCTCCAAAACTTTGACACTTTCGCCATTTTCAAAGCAGACAATATTCAAAAGACAAGATAAAAATCTGTACAAATCCGAAGTTACTATCTTACTGCATTTACATCTACTGCATCAACAAACATCTTCTACAATTTCATTACGAAACATGTTCAATCGTTATCCGTTGCAAAGCACGGGTACAGCAGCTAATTGGTTTATACAAATGTGTTTATAAATTTTTTTGTTAAAAACATGTTTATTTCTTAATTCACATTAAATTTATCTATTTCTCATTATGTTTAAGGAACGTTTTAAACTATCATCAAGTTTGGTTTGGTTCTTTGAATTTAAGGAACTGATTACACATTTCTCAGTAATTCAACAATTGTTCAGATAATTATTTAGTGTAATTTCATAATGTTTCCAGATTTGAACTATTAAATAATTGTCACAATTTATTTAATGTTCTCCAAACTGATTGGTTTTGTTTATTGTACCATGTAACGTATGGAAGCCCATGTGGCGTAACTAAGGAAATACAAAAATAAAATTATTTAATATTGTACTGTCACCATTTGTGAGATATGTTTCAGGTTTCAAGTCTTTAGTTCATCGGGAAGTTAGTTCAAAATCGATTGAAAAATGTACTGAACAGACAAGTAAGCGATCTAACAAAAACGTCTAAAAAAATACTGTTGAATGTTAAGGTATTAAAACATACAAAAAAAAAAGCACTGGATCAATTCGAGTACCATTGGACGTAATCGTGTCATTTATTTATTACACACACGGCAAACGCCATTTTACAAGAGAGTTGAGTTGAGATTAATAAAAATTTGTTGTGACTTAAAGTGAAATAAAATAAAATCTTTAAGTGAGATTTATAAAATTTTCGATTTACAGTAGGCCTAACTCAAATCTATTTGAATGCTTTGCCCTCAAATATCTGTTTGGGAATTTATTACAGTTTAGGTTACCTATTTTCATTTAACCTAACACTGGAAATTCTAAAAAAAGTTTGCCTCCGTTACAATCTCTCTTGGCCATGGATTGTACACATTTTCGTAAACAAAATACCCCCGCCGCAGCAAACCTGCCGTCTTAGCGAATTTCCATTTGGCTGAATTGATTTTCAATTGATCTATTTAAATAACATTAGGTTTAACGAGTACCTAGGTTTGCCGCTACAAGGAAACTAATAAAGTGTGTGTTTTAAGTAAAATAATTATTGCTTAGTATATAAAATGAATATATTTGCCAAGTTTGATCAAAAGATATCCATAAACAAGCAAACTACAACATTTTACAATATTCTCCATAAGAATAACATGGGAATTTTAAATTGACAATTTTTTTAGTTTTCTCCGTAACCAATAACCGTACAAAAACACTTTGATATACTGAATTGTTTGTTTTTTTAAGCTCTTTAAGAAGGTTTAGAGGAAAATTGGGAAATTTTGTGTTTTGAGGGTCAAAAGTGAGAAAAACCAATTTTTACCCCATAAAACCCCCCATAAAACCCTGTTCCCATGGTCCGATCATGCTGGATCCCGAACTCATTCAAGTTTATCCCGCCTTACACCTTTAAACCAAATTTCGTCAAAATCAGATAAAAATTACTCAAGTTATCGTGTTCACGGACACACACACATATATATATATATATATATATATACATATATAAAAATTTGAACGAATGGTGTTTTGGCCTCTGGGGACATCAAAATGAAAAAGTAAATCGGTCCCGGGCCTAAGTGTTACCATGAGACCTACGGTAATAGCTACTTCCCTATAGGGAAATTCGCTAAAACATAAACAATACTGGAACTATTGATGTTTAATCATAAAAAACCTTACAAAAAATAATTTTATGTTGATTGTTCACCTTGCGTTTACTTGAAACTCGTCCGATTTGAATAACTAATAGCTTAAATGAAAGCCGGCATTTCACTGAAGGTTCTTAGACCAAAATGTATAAGATTATGTCATAACAACTGGTTTAATCTATATATTAATTTGAAACAGTTTTTTCTTTGTCATAGCTAAATTGAGAGAACGGCTGGGCGTAGAAACTCGGTAGGGTGTCTAAAGAAAGGTCTTGGTCTGTAGATGAGCCATCAAAAGAGATACGTGGTAAATTCCCTTGGGGCTCTGCCCCAGTGGCCTTTGAATTCCCATACCATGTTATTCTTATGGAGGAAAAACTGGGTTTTTGTCCCAGCTAATTTGAGAGAACGCCTCGGCGTAGAAACTTGGTAGGGGTCTCTAAAGAAAGGTCTTGGTCTATAGATGAGCCATCAAAAGAGGAACGAGGTAAATTCCCTTGGGGCTCTGCCCCAGAAGCCTTTAAAGTTGCCTCTTCAAATTTGTTTACCATATGCATAATTCTACACTACTTTTTATATCCATAAACAAGCAAACTACAACATTTTACAATATTCTCCATAAGAATAACATGGGAATTTTAAATTGATGATTTTTTTAGTTTTCTCCGTAACCAATAACCGTACAAAAACACTTTGATATACTGAACTGTTTGTTTTTTTAAGCTTTTTAAGAAGGTTTAGAGGAAAATTGGGAAATTTTGTGTTTTGAGGGTCAAAAGTGAGAAAAACCAATTTTTACCCCATAAAACCCCCCATAAAACCCTGTTCCCATGGTCCGATCATGCTGGATCGCGAACTCATTCAAGTTTATCCCGCCTTACACCTTTAAACCAAATTTCATCAAAATCAGATAAAAATTACTCAAGTTATCGTGTTCACGGACATATATATATATATATATATATATATATATATATATATATATATATATATATATACATATATATACATATATAAAAATTTGAACGAATGGTGTTTTTGGCCTCTGGGGACATCAAAATGAAAAAGTAAATCGGTCCCGGGCCTAAGTGTTACCATGAGACCTACGGTAATAGCTACTTCCCTATAGGGAAATTCGCTAAAACGGAAAATTGAACATTCTTGTGTAATAAATTTCATGTTTACCACGCAATCCCAATTTCCGTCATTAAAACTCGTTTAAATAAGTTTAAAATGCGTTTATTGAATCAATACAACTTAATTTTATTGAATTACAAAAACGTTCATTAAAGTTCTTATAAACGACTATTACTGTTATCTATCTTCAACAATAAGCGTTTGCTAAAGGTTTCTTTCACAACCTTAATATATCTCTCGACCTTTATGTACACTAACGTATTTCATACACTCTCTATAAAGCTCTCAGTACACAAACACACGAGCTGGCCGCTTTCCTATTCCATTCACTCGTAAATATCTCAAAATTACATTATGAGTTATGACACCCTTTAATTGTTATTAGGCGCAATATCGAAGGCTGCTACAATGCTTGGCCACGCCCATTTCAATTATTGCTGGCTAGAGGGTTTCTGATTGGTCGGATTTAGCCACGCCTCCTCCTTGTAAGATTCTGGGCTATCAGTTTGCTATCGCGTCTCGGACCGACGAGTTGCCACTTCAAGATTTCTCGCTTAGTGCGTCTAGATTTATGTTTATTTGAGTATTTATACAAAAAGTATGGACATGTTTTTAGTTTTATCTAGAATATCGTGTTAAATATTTAATTTTTTTTAAATTTAATTGATGCAATCTTCCAATATTGTAAGAGAATGCTGTACATTTCCTAAGCTTCATCCAAGTGTTTTTTGGACCTAAAATTTTTACAAGAACCAACAACCAGAGTTCCAATCCCCGAAGACAAAATTGGACTCAAGGAATTAGTAACACACTATCCTATGATGTGCTAAGGTATATTGTTTACATTAGTGGTTGACAACACGCTTGAGTGTTTCACGTGATATTGATAATGAACAACCAAGAAGGGGTGGATTGTGAGGTGGGAGGACATTTTGTTGATAAACTAACCGACAGTCCGGGCCCTCAACCCTCTAGTTCGCGATCCCTCAAGTTCGGCATGGACAGGATCCTCTCAGAAGACATCGCCCCTCCTAGGAGACCATCTCAGTCTACCAACAATCACTCAGGTACATATAGACTAAACTCTGTTAGTTTTCACAAAAGTTATATGGTATAAATATGTAATATCCTACAGTATATATTCGAACGTCAAAACAACCATTGCATAAAAGTAGTAACATCATGTGGATGTGGCAACACTAAAGACAAAATATTGGCAAAGAATAATCATATCGGATACAAATATGCTTCAAAATATGTGACAAGTATAAATAGTATACATAAAAAAATAAACAGGACAAGGATGACAAAATTCTATCTATGTAAAAAATGCGAAATTACAAGTATATTACTAACAGGAATATTATCAACAAGAAACAAAGGGTCTACAACCAAAGCAGGCCTAGTATGCGACAATAATGCAAGTACCTGCAAAGGCAACAGTTGACTCAATTTTCAGATAATGCCCAAGTAGCCGCAAGGATGTTTTTCTTCTGATAGTCAGGTAACAGATTTGGAAGAAGTCATAGTTGCATCATAGAAATCTTAGTTGAATCAATTTTCATATATTACACAATATGTTGGTGAGCAAAGGTATAACACTGCAGGACTAATAATCATTTCACATTACGGCTTTTCAGGACAGCGGCAGATTTTATGTATCTATTTTGAGTTGAATGTGAAATGCGAACAAAAGTGAAGTATGGAATGGAATAAGACTAGTGGCATTTAGGAACATAGTCACTAAAAAATCCAAAAGTAAAATAAATTTGTAATAGTCAAACAAACTAAGAATTAAGAATAAAATTATCTTTCACGCAGCAGCTCTGAAAATTGTAAGTTGATAATTTATCACTTATATACATTTATATATATATCACATATATTTACATATATTTATATATATATTAAGTTTTATATATATCACTTTAGTGAAAGCAGAAACTAACTAAATTATTTATTGATTAGTAAACAAACTTCACGCACTTTATCAACAGAAATTAAAAGTTTAAAATGATTATAAAAAGTATGAATGAATGAAAATGATTAAATTTGAAATCACGCGTTTAATGTAAACAAAGCAGACGTTTTTCAATCCCAACGCATTTCAAATTGAGGATATTTTTCACTATTTCTCATTTTTATAGTAGATTTGGACATAATCTTCAATTTTCCCCGACCCCTGAGACCCCCATCATCTTACGACTCATGCGAGCTGTCAAACTCACAATTTTGATAAAAAAAATTGCCTACAGAATTAATAAAAGAGATAGATGATTTGTATAGTTTGTTACTGACTAAGATCAGCTGTTTGCAAGGACCGATTGTTGAAAGCGATTATCAAACATAGGCCCAGTTTAGAAGTATCAGAAATTCTGCTATTTGCAGAATTAAACAGGTAATCTGAGAAGTCTGGCGCGAGAACCATACGCTCCCGACTACCAACCATAATAACTGTCAACGATATCGTATGCACGAACAGCTATGTTTTACAAATAGCTCCATATTTGTTAAATAACTAGGTTTCAATCTCAATAACAATCTTAATTGATTAAAATATTTGAATTTCAATACGCAATTTAAGAAACAAATCATGTAAACACCAATTCTTCGTAGACTCAGGATGATGAAAATAAAGTAATGTCATGAACAAGTTATGTTGGTCCTCTTGACTAACATTGATGAGTAATCTCGTAGTAATGTACATATCAAGCAAAATCCATGCAAAGCACACACGCCACAAAGATAAGAAGACTTGGCTAGTTTTAGAAATATAAAATTCCTTGAAAATAACAAGTGCGCATTGTAAAGAAATATAAAGGTAAAATGATCCAATACAAAATTGTGCATGATCAATCATAATCTACACGTTCTGTAACATTAATTACGTACTTAGCGTCATATAATATTACAACTTAGTTTTGCAAAGTGTCCTATGTGACTGGTCACATAGGTTTTACACACAATTAATTGCAGATATTTTTGCAAAAAAGATAAAAGAGTTAAAACATTTAAACCCCGTAGAAAATCTGGTTCATGAGTTGGTTTTCACAAGCACCTATTCCTAATTTGATTGTTTTAAATATGTTTAATTAGTAACAGATTTGTCAATGAGTTTCCTCCGTAAAAAATGTTATAATTTATCTTAAAGGATCTTCAATGTTTGGTAAAAAAGAAGGATCGATGCCGAAAGAAATTCAATTATTGTTAGGCCTTCAAGTTCCAAATCAAAATCTGGAAGAATTTGATTATTAATGGCAGCTATCATAATTAGGTGGTGAGTAAGAAATTATTAAAAGAATTTGCAAATTGACTCGTAAATATATGTTTTTATAGGAGTATTAGGTAACAATTTAAAGCTCTTATCCTCTAGATGTGCCTTTAGTGGGTTTGCATGTTATCCCGTAAAAGCCCTTCGTCCTATAGGTTTTTTTTTTAAATTTCATAGTTTGTGCTGAATTTTGTTGTCAATCATCTGAGCTTTTTCAAGTTTACATTTGTTTACATCAAAACGGATGGCCATGATACAATGTTTTTACATTACATACGAAAATGGGGCTATCTGTGGTTAGTGATGTTTCAATAATTTCAAATAAAAATGTTATAATGTTATTTGTATAAAATGTAGAAAGAAAATGACTTACGTTAGAATTTTGTTTCCATAGTATGTGTCATTAGTATTTGTAATTTTTCTAAAATACCTCGAAGAGAAATCAAACGTGGTACAATTCAAATAAAAAAAAAAACATCTCAAACCTGTAGTACGAATGCTTATTAATACTACTAACTGTATAGTATACTAAGCTATGCTATACTAAGTATACTATGCTATGTACTGTACCAACTAAGCTTATTTGACTCATTTTGCTGGGGGATATTTTAAGAATTTAAAAGCTGCGGTTTTAGCATATTAGTTGTAGTACAAAGAGTAAGAATCTCTGACTATTTTAAATATGGATTGTAATTAATCCAAATAGACTATTTAGTTTTCAAATAGACCCCTAGTGCATCGATAATTATTGTGTGGACAATTTTAACAACGCTACTGATAAATTGTATTGATATTTTAAAATCGTAAATCAAATGACCACCAAGTTTTTCGTATGAAGAATTCATGCTTGAGATTGTTTATAAATTCCATACAATTTATAATTTTTTTTTGCTGAAGGCCAACAATGTGTATAGATTGGAAATTGTATTTAAATTATTTTTTGCTTTTAAAACTAAATTTTAAACAAAAACTAAATTAAAACAAACCCTTTTTGATTTGATTCCTTATAACAGAAAAGCTAAGCAATCGTTGGGCTATTGTGAGACAACTACACTGGACGTAAAACTTGTCGTAAAAATGTTTGATTCCGTTAACCATAAATTAATTTGAAGAAATTCAACAACGCTGCTAGAAATCCTCCAAATAAACAACGACTTTTCGAGGCATATTTGCAGTATTGCTGTTACCAAAATGTATTAAAACACACGCTGAAATAAAGTCAGAAAATACACTGAAGGAGAAAACATTTAACTGTCATCGGGGCACTCGAATTACTGTTTTTAGGCAAACACAATATACTATCATTACCAGGTTAAAATAGACAAAGCTACCACCATAGATTAACCATACTCCCTTAAGTATGCTTAATCTATGCTACCATTTATTTACAAATTGTTGCTTCGACTAAAGCAAATTGTAGCTTAATAGACAGTACCTGGAAGTAGGTATTCCATCGCCAATTTAAAGTGTATTAGATTTAGAATAAAAATAATAAAGCTTACAGTAGTTCAATTTAGCCATCGGAAAAATATTTTGCCGTCAAATATCATTTTATTTATTGAATAGGCCCTACATATTTTGGACCACGCAAACTGAAAAAGAAATATATTACCTTATTTACCTTATTAAATCCTCCTTGGCTTGATACCAGCATGAACTGGTTAGGCTGCGTCAATATTTACAATTATAAAATTATATTACAATTATATATACAATTATTTATGTAAATAAAAACAAACCTTTTAAATACCATGTTTTTAACATTAAACGCACTAAAAAGTAGAAAGTAATTTATAAATATGTGGAGGGAATAAATACTTGTAAGATTTAAAACGAAAAATGTGGGGCGCATGCAATAGCTAATTTACAATTATCTTCACCAATTGAACTATTATTATCTATTGCATGTGCCCCAATTTTTTAAATTTTAAATCTTACAAGTATTTATTCTCTCCACAATTTGTAATTTTTTTTCTTCTTTTTTGTGAAATTAAAAACGTGGCATTTTTAAAAAGTATTTTTATTTACAAGTTATTTTCTACTTTTTAGTCTTTAATTTAAAACAACGTTTAACGAAACAAAACTACCTAATCATAAACCCACCTACCCTCACCCTACCCAAGGGGGGGGGGGTGGTGATAACTCGTTCCCTAGTTATTTACAGTAATCAAATAGTAAAGAAAACACCATGAAATTAACTCTAGAATAATAGAAACCAAATTTAATTGACAGTTTCCCCATCATGAACTAGATACGAAAAAACAAGCTTCAAAATTTACAACGGAATGAGAAGTCTATTAGTGTTGATTTGTATATGGTAGAACCTCGCAAGTAAATCACCCATGATAACAAGTTTAGTGTATTTTATCTTTCTTCCAATCACATGTTATTGCAAACCTCTATAAGAGGTCAAAACCTTGATTACAAGCAAGCGACATGTTAACGAGTTTCCTACTGTATTTTGGATAATATACAATTTTCAGTAGAGATTAGGTTAGTGAATTGTAGTATTGCTGACAGTTAGTCCATAATAAGTAGAGTCTGTGTTCAACTACAACTACTGGTCAGTTCATGTTCATTGGACTATTTAGATGTTAAAGTTTGTGTAAGTTTGTCTGTTCAATTAAGATCGACATGCAAAGTTTTCTTGAATGTGACTTTGTGACTGAATGTAATTTACAGTGTTTTCTTGAATCAGACCTGCTTATGTAAATTGAGCCTACGAAACTGCAGTAGTCGTTTAGGCTTCTGTAAGCTGAAGGTTATTGCACTTTTATAAAGATTGAGTATACCACC